GAGAGAGGTGTGCAAAGTTGGTGGGGTGCGCCGCTCGCTTGTACGCGCCGCTCGCTTGTAAAACACGTTATATATTATAGAAACGCTTAGATTGTACTAGGCAGCCTTTGAATTAAGCAAGGAATTACTAGCATAGAATACTATATTTATATATTAGTTTCTTAAAATCAAGCTTTAATACATCTGAAATAGACTCTAAGATCTCTTTACTACAATTATTAACTAAGATTTATAATTAGGCTATTATAGATGATATAAGAACAGATTTAAATAGTAGAGTTATAAAAAGATATCGTTAGGATAGTAATATCGTTGGGAGCTTCGGCACTAGCCTACGGCGAGTGTTAGCGCAGCTAACTTAGCTAAATATGCTATGCCTTGGCACGGATAGCAGCTTGCCAATTTGTTTTAAGTTGATTAGCTAATATAGCTGATATAGCAAGCTAGACATCTACTTCATTTAAAGATAATTGAGTTGCGTTGCGTTGAGCCATTGTACGTTGTACTATAAGAGGTGGGTAAACTTGGTGGGGTGCGCGTCGCGCTTGTAAACTACGTTATCTACTATCTTCATCTATGTGTGGTGTATAGGCCATTTTTTTTCTTATTAAGACAGTGCATTCTTGCTGCCGTTATAGTATCTTGTTGCTTCAGTTAAGCTGAAGTTATTGCTTCTGCAGCCCTGCCTCGGCTGCGACACATACCTAAGTGATGCCCTTGGGGTGTGCGATTCCTTGAATTCTTTGGAATGAACTATTGGGTCCGAGCATTGTGGTTGAGATTACTCTTTGCGAAACTAAATAGGCCCTAATTATCTTCCTGAGATTCGATTGATTATCTTCTACCTAGTCCCCACCGTCCTTCCGCGGCACTGCTAGTGTGCCGTTATACCGCTCCCAAGCAAACTGACGTATGCTTCCAAAATTTTGACAGGTCTGAAGCTGCTTAGACTCAACGTAGTTATGCCTAATAGATGGTCGAAATCTCGTTGGGGATATAGTTATACTTGCCGAATATTGAAGCGATTGACGAATATGATCAATACAGTGAACTGAACTTAGTTAATAGGATATTAAGCATAGTAAGACATACTTACGCTGGTGAACCAGTCCGTGCAAACTATCTAGATTATAGTAATCTGGGTGTAGTGCCATACGGATATGATTCTATAATGTCTTTAGTAGTTAGAATTGCATTGTAAGAAGTACTTACTAGATAGTGTAGTATATGAAATACATCAAATCTAACTTCGTTATCCTATATTAGAAAATACTAACACCTATAAAAACTTACCCGCCTGTAAATCCTCCGTCGATTCTGTCTCGATAGTCCTTATACTTTTCCCCCCATAGTTCTTTAGCTTTATTCTCTGAAATAGAGAAGTACCGCCCCTTAATTAATTCATCCCACGCCTTATCGATTGCAGGGCTTAGCTCTCCAACATAGAGGACCTCTCCTGGAGAATAAACTAGTTGAGGTAACCCGTTATCTGTAAACTCGATACCACTAGTATATTGTAACTGTTCGATTTTGACGATCTCTTTTGGTACTAGGGTTAGTTAGAATAAGATTTGGAATTAGAGTTAGTTTATACTAATATAGCTTTTTAGTTATAAATCCTGTTTTATAAGTCCCATACGAATAATTGTTCAAGCGAATGGAAGAAAATAAATATCTAAGACACATAAGCAGAATTGCTGTGCAAATTATAAGAATTACTCTTGTCTAATATACGATATGGTTTTTAAGCGATATGTATTTGGTTAGGTGTTCTTCAGAATATAACTCTTTCTCTATCATAGGCTCTTGTTCAACTGACGTGGATCGCATCTAGTGAATCCTCTGAGTGCCGAGAAGTTTGTACATTAGAAATATTCGAAGGTAGACGATGTGATAGATAGAATCTTAGATCTGTTGTATTCGAACCTCGTCATTAAACAACAAGAATATGATATAAACATAGCTAGTTGAAATGTGGGAGTAGAATCTGGCTTCATAATCAAGTCGGTCGGACCTCAGCTAGAACCAGATTAAAGTCTGCTAGGGGCACAGATCGAATCATTATCCCTACTAGAAAACATAGTCATCGGCATAAATGTTACGCCCCGATACGCAACGAGACCTAGAGAATGCTAGATTATTATCGGACCGCGTTGGACCGCGTCGGACCGCGTCGGACCGTAAAAGAAGTGGAGATATTCTGCATTGGATTAAAGCATGCCGGGTTCTACCGGAGGGATTGGTGCAGCTAGACTCATTTACGTGTTCAACTTATCATATCTATATTCTCCTTAAGAGGATATTGCATCGGCAAAGTACATAACTCCTACTTTTTCGCAACCATTACTAACACTAATGGATGTAGGATATCCATTATCCCGTGGATATCGGGAAAATTGTGGCCCGTGCGCAGAATAAGGATTTTCTCTAGTTACGCGACTTTACGTCTGTTAGCTACCTAAAACCTCTTAATAATTTTAATACTAGATTAATGCTAAGACTAGCATTTTATATGGCTACCCTCTTCTTAGACCTACACAATATGCCACACGGAATTATAGTCGAAAGGGAATTATAGTCGGATAGCGCGTCTTACCGCTGCCTATCTACCTACTAGTTCGTAGTAGTAAATACCGTCCGAACGATGTTTAAAATAGATGCAACTTCTACCTTAGATGTAGGAGACTCGCGCGCGTCTAATGCACTACGTTTTATTATCGTACGATCTATGTAGCGTAAATCATTAGATAGCATAGGGGAGAGAGTTGGTGTTCGTGGACATAGCCCGTGCTAACTTACTAGGGTTGCGCTGCTAGTTGCGCTTAGGGCTTTACCCTTAGTTTACCCTAAGTTAGAGTTGCGCTAGGCACGAGCGGTTCTTAATAAATTGCTATAACTAACGTGAAAGAACACTACTATAGTAGATAAGCACTAGAAGACAATCTAGGGGCACTAGTTGGGGGTACTTAGTAAAGTTTTCTATGCACCCCCCTTATACCTCTCTTATCTTAACTAACTTCTTAGGCTAATATACTATTGTCCTTGGTAAAGGTAGCTATAGAGGGAGTTTTGAAGAAGGGCAACTGTTACCCTCTCTTATCTCTCCTATTCTCCTCTTAGCCCTACTAATAGGTTTATCTTAGCACCTTTCTTAATCTAATCTCTTTACTTTGTTTTATATGTATATGCGTAACTACACGCGTACGCGTAACACGTTCGCTCTTCTATACTCTCTTCTTCTATACACGTTCCCTCTAGTTTAGTAAATAATATTATATATTCTTTTACTATAGATTCTACCTATACTAATCTACTTAACTCTTTAATTAACTACTTACCTAAATATAAGCTTATTATATATCGATTACATCGCACTTACGTTCTACTTTGCTATCTTGAAACCTATCTACATAAACACTATAACCTTAGTAGCGCGACCTACTAAGTGTTATATGGGGTTTAGTACTAATACTTCTTTAAACTTAATTTAGGTTAGGGCGAGTAAGATGGTGTGAAGAGCGCT